GCCCCACCCATCAGCCCCTGGGGGTCAGTCAGGGCTCATATGTGCATACTATCAAACTGCTACCTAATACTGATAATGCTAACCCAAATTGAATTACTTCCAAAGGAAATTAAACAAATGTTGGTCCAAAATATGATTTCCCTATATAAAACTAATAGTAAAGTTTACCCCCTCCCCAGGGGGAAACGTGTGACCCCAGGGTCAAGAAATTCACAATTTTGGTAAAGCACCTTAAGACCCTTCCATATATAAAGAGTATTTGATTCTACCATACCTGGGTCTTGAGAAGAAGATTTTTGAAATTTTAGTCAGTTTGACCCTTTTTGGCCCCGCCCCTCAGGCCCCTGGGGGCTTGGGACTAAACCGGCCACTATTTTTGTTGACCTTTGTCCATGGAAGGTCCCTGCAAAATTTCATTGAAATTGGTTCAGGGGTTTTGGAGAAGAAGTCGAAAATGTAAATTGTTTACAGACGCACGACGGACAAAAGGCGATCCCAATAGGTCACTTGGAGACTTTGTCTCAGGTGACCTAAAAATTAAAGGTGGTTTAAAATAGAATTTTATCATAATATGAAAATCTTATTAAAATGAGTTTTTTTAAATTCGTCCATTACACAGTTTGTGTCTTTGTCAGATGAATAGATTGCTAATGTTTAGAATTCATATACATCAGCGGTCGTAAAATTATCAACTTCAAATATACTGTGACTTTTCTGTATAATACAACAAAGTACTTACCACTTCTGTGGGCCTCTTCTATAGCCAAACTGTCTTTAAGTGAGAACGGAAACCAGATCAGCTTACTCTCCACTCTTTTAGAAAAACACCAGTGAGCCCGTACAGGCTGGTAGAAACCCCCTTGGGGAGCCCCTGAGAAATTAGACTTGTCCATATCAAAGGTGACTTGTGATTTCTGTGTAAAGGATGCCTGGGAGAATGTTGGGTTCACTTGTGCAACAGGGGGGCCTCCATAAGGGAATGAAGATGTTGGCATGGGAACTGATGGCTGGATGGAGGGAGGAACCGGAGGCAGACCTCCAGTTGGAGGTATGTATGGGGGTTGTCCTGGTGACATTATACTACTTGGTTGTGGCCCGGGAGGCATCATACTCGGTGATTGTCCCAGGGAGTATGGATTTGGTGAGCCTTGGTTTCCAGCGTATGTCCCTGAAGGCATTTGAGCATATGTTGCCAGCCTCTGTCCTTGTTGCTTACGGAACTGGTTTCCAACTGCTGGAGGGGGAGCTGGAGAGCTTCCTGTTAACATTAAAAACATTGTGTAGGAACTGAGTACTTGTTCGAAATTCACTGATTCTATTAATTTGTGAAATATAAATGTACTTTTTTGAAGTGTTTTTTTGTTTATTTTATTTTTAAGAATAAAAAAAATACATTCAAAACTTTCAACATATATATATTTGTTCTTATTTCACGTAAGTGTTACATGTAATATGGCAACATTAACACCAGCTTATGTAAAAGAATTAAATTATTATTGTATATAATTCAACTGTGAACAGGAGAAAAAAACAGCAGCTATCTGTTGTGTAGTTGTGCATGAATTTAAAAACTCAGGGTTCTTTAGATTAAATGTTAATTAAATTTCCCATAAAAATATTTAAACAAGAGGCCCAATGGGCCTGCATCGCTCACCTGTTATTAATCTAACACTTGTAATCTTAAGATTTCATAAGAACCTATTAAAAGATTTAAACATATGACGCCTCTGACCATGATTGTCGAACAAGGACATTAGGTTGAAAGTGGATCAAGGTCATTCATTTGAACTAACATGGTAATCCTTCATCCCAGCATGCTACAGGCCCAATTTCAGTACCCTGGCCCTTTTGCTTATTGAAAAGAAGTCGCTTGAAGATTTTACGACATTTGACCCCTGTGACCTTGAAAGTTGGTCAAGGTCATTCAGTTGAACAAACTTGATAGTCCTTCATCCCAGCATGCTACAGGCCCAATATCAGTACCCTGGGCCTTTTGGTTATTGAGAAGAAGT